CCTTGTTTAGAATCAGAGGTGCTAGTTTCAAATACTTTTTAGTCTGAAATCTGTATGCTAGATATTGAACAAGGTGGTTTTATTGTTTTTTGTCACTTTGAATAATATTTCTGTTCATGTTAAAAACAAAATCAACTCTCTGTATAAATATATCAGGTGACCGTTAAGGCCCATGGGCCTCTTGTTATTTCATATTTTCTATTTGATATGATATGAAAAGAAATATGTGTTGATCTAAATCATGACACATGGATATAGAGAACACAAAATTAACAGATTTTGAAATTTTAATGATAATGTTTTGTTAGTTATTTGAATGAGTAGGGTTCCAGGTACAGTAGAGTGTGAATTAAATGTGAACCTGACTGTTTCAGTACCTGCCCAAGCTAGAAGGATTAGACGTTCGGAGTAACTGTCTGACTGTGTTTCCCTCTAATGCCCTGATGTGTCCCTTGCTGAGTGTCCTTGATCTTTCACATAACAAGGTAAGTCTCCCAGAGTCACGCCAAACCAAGGTCACTCCAAACCAAGGTCACTCCAAATCAAGGGCACACCAAACCAAGGTCAGATTGTACCAAAGTCACACCAAACTATGGTCACTTCAACCTAAAGTCATATTGTACGAAGGTCAAACCAAACCAATTTATATAGTACCAAGGTCACACCAAACCAAGTTTACATTGTACCAAGGTCACACCAAACCAAGTTTAAATTGTACCAAGGTCACACCAAACCAAGTTGATATTGTACCAAGGTCACAACAAATCAAGTTTTTATTGTACCAAGGTCAAACCAAACCAAGTTTATATTGTACCAAGGTCACACCAAACCAAGGTCACACCAAACCAAGGTCAGATTATATCAAGGTCACACAAAACCAAGGTCAGATTGTACCAAGGTCACACCAAACCAAGGTTACATTGTACCAAGGTCACACAAACCAGGTTTATATTGTACCAAGGTCACACCAAACCAAGGTCATATTGTACCAAGGTCACTACAAACCAAGGTTGTATTGTACAAAGGTCACACCAAACCAAGGTCATATTGTACCAAGGTCACTACAAACCAAGGTTGTATTGTACCAAGGTCATTACAAACCAAGGTCATATTGTACCAAGGTCACTACAAACCAAGGTTGTATTGTACCAAGGTCACACCGAATCAAGGTAACATTGTTCCAAGGTCACACCAAACCAAGGTAAGATTTTAACAAGGTCACACCAAACTATGGTCACTTCAACCTAAAGTCATATTGTACGAAGGTCAAACCAAACCAATTTATATAGTACCAAGGTCACACCAAACCAAGTTTACATTGTACCAAGGTCACACCAAACCAAGTTTAAATTGTACCAAGGTCACACCAAACCAAGTTGATATTGTACCAAGGTCACAACAAATCAAGTTTTTATTGTACCAAGGTCAAACCAAACCAAGTTTATATTGTACCAAGGTCACACCAAACCAAGGTCAGATTATATCAAGGTCACACAAAACCAAGGTCAGATTGTACCAAGGTCACACCAAACCAAGGTCACACAAACCAGGTTTACATTGTACCAAGGTCACACCAAACCAAGGTCATATTGTACCAAGGTCACTACAAACCAAGGTGGTATTGTACAAAGGTCACACCAAACCAAGGTCATATTGTACCATGGTCACTACAAACCAAGGTTGTATTGTACCAAGGTCATTACAAACCAAAGTGAGATTGTACCAAGGTCACTACAAACCAAGGTTGTATTGTACCAAGGTCACACCAAATCAAGGTAACATTGTTCCAAGGTCACACCAAACCAAGGTAAGATTTTAACAAGGTCACACCAAACCAAGGTCAGATTATAACAAGGTCGCACAAAACTAAGGTCAGATTATATCAAGGTCACACCAAACCAAGGTCAGATGGTACCAAGGTCACACCAAACCAAGGTCAGATTTATCAAAGTCACACCATAGCAAGGTCAGATTGTACCAAGGTCACACCAAACCAAGGTTACATTGTACCAAGAGTACACCAAACCAAGGTTACATTGTACCAAGGTCACACCAAACCAAGGTTACATTGTAACAAGGTCACACCAAACCAAGGTTACAGTGTACCAAGGTCACACCAAAATGTGTTTATGTCATAACAAGGTCACACCAAACCAAGGTTATATTGTACCAAGGCAAAGACCAACCAACGTCATATTAGGTTATTGAAAATTAATTAAGGTTAAAACAATAGTTTAATTGTCAGTTTTAAATCTGCATGTTGCTTTATATATACATACACATTTAGATGGAGGCCTTTTGCTACAAATACAAACAACATATTTGTTACTATAGATAACTGTGTTACAATAAAGACATCACAATAGATACAGATTATATATACTACACAGTATGTATCCTTACACTGACTTGATGCTTTAGGTTTAAGCTTGTTGCTATAAATACAGAACTTGTTACTATATATACATAGACCTGTTGCTATAGATACAGACTTGTTGTCTATAGATATATCCTTGTTGCTTTAGATACAGATATGTTGCTATAGATACAGACTTGTTGCTATATATACAGACTTGTTACTATAGATACAGACTTGTTGTCTATAGATATATCCTTGTTGCTTTAGATACAGACCTGTTGCTATAGATACAGACTTGTTGCTATAGATACAGACTTGTTTCTATAGATACAGACTTGTTGCTATAGATAAAGAATTGTTGCTATGAGACAGATATGTTGCTATAGATACAGACTTGTTGCTATAGATAGAAACTTGTTGCTATGGATAAAGACCTGTTGCTTTAGATACAGACTTGTTGCTTTAGATACAGACTTGTTGCTATATATACAGACTTGTTGCTATAGATACAGATTTGTTGCTATATATAGAGAATTGTTGCTATGAGACAGATATGTTTTCTATAGATACAGACTTGTTGCTATATATAGAAACTTGTTGCTATAGATACAGACTTGTTGCTATAGATACAGACTTGTTGCTATAGATAGAGAATTGTTGCTATGAGACAGATATGTTGCTATAGATACAGACATTTTGCTATAGATACAGACATGTTGCTACAGATACAGATATGTTGGTATAGATACAGATATGTTGCTATAGATACAGATATGTTGCTATAGATACAGACATGTTGCTATAGATACAGATATGTTGCTATAGATACAGACATATATGTTGCTACAGATACAGATATGTTGCTATAGATACAGATATGTTGCTACAGATACAGATATGTTGCTATAGATACAGATATGTTGCTACAGATACAGACTGTTAGTGGACTGGAGGAGAATACAACTCTTAAGGAGCTGGTCATATCCCATAATAATCTCCGCTGGATTTCTCCCACTCTCACAGCAAATCTTCAGGGGCTGGAAGTACTGCTGTTGTCAAGGTAACTGCATCTATTGTCAAACTCATGGTGATGTCATGTAAAATAGTTGTAAATAATTCCTGCCTGATGTTCAATGTGTTATTAATTAACTTATTCTAAATTACTATTCACAATCCTACTCTGTGGATCTGATTTTTGTCAGGCGTTTCATGTTGCCTTAAGGTAGCATACATCCTTAACATAGTGTTGTTGTTACTAATCCCTAAATATTAACAAACTGCCACCTCTGTCCAGTAACAACATACAGGAGTTACCAGAGGCGCCCCTCGGGATGGCAATGTTACAAACACTCAACCTGTCGGACAACCGCATCTCCTTTATCCCGGAGCAATGCCTTACTGGATGTCCGAGGCTCGAGACACTGGATCTCTCCAACAACAGACTAGGTAGGACCCTCCAAGGTCGTCGGCATTCAAGGTCACTCAGATCAACACTGTGAATATCTTTTTCTTGTTGATACAAATAAAACTTCACCCTTGGTCATTTTTTTATATACCAGGGTATTTCCTTTTTTTCATGTAATTCTATATGGTGATGAAACCAGTATCATCACATGAACATTGTATTTTGATCACACAGAAGTCAATATAATGAAAATTGTTGTGCCACACTTCAGTGATCGGATACCAGTCTGTAAACACATGATTGCTTTTACAAATATTATAAAGATAACATGTTGAAGGTGTCTTTCCCTCCTGTATAGTGAGACTGCCCAGTGAAACCATAGTAACAGAACTGACCAGACTGGCCAAACTGAAATTAGCCAGAAACCAGTTGATGGAGAAGGAGCCATTCTACATACCTAAGTTAATACTGGAGCTACCCAGGTCTGTGCTACATACTGTAAATGTACACATTTTAGCGGTCATCTTATTTTAGCGCTTTTCTAACTGTAAATGTTGCACTAAATTACTAGGGGCCGCGTTGGCCAAGTGATTAAGGCATCTGACATTCTGCTACCACTAGCCCTCCACCACTGGGTCGCAGGTTCAACACCTACGTTGAGCAGTTGCCAGGTCCTGGCCATAGGTTGGTGGTTTTTCTCCAGGAACTTCTGCTTTCCTCCACCACCAGATCCTGGCACATCCTTAAATGACCATAGCTGTAATTAATAGGACGTAAAACACAAATAAACCAAACCAAACCTAAGCACTAAATTATGATGGAGCCAATTGAAGTTCCTGTATGTTGTTTACTGTTTACACATATTTGTGGGTGTGCCAATTCATCAAAGCACTAATCTGTAAAAAATTGATAAAGGGCTAAAATTTGAATGCTTTTTAATAAGTACACTTACAGTATACTTTCTAGTTTATTTTGCTGAAATCTCCAGTGAATGTCAAACAAATGTCAGTGTCAGTCTTGTTATATCTATTGTTGATTATCACTCTGTTTGTCAAAAAAACAATGTTCCTATGGTGATAAAGTGAATACATTGAGAGGTAAACTTATGGTAAAAAATAGATCTTAACTTTTTTTGACGTCTGTGCAAATGAACTTTGTACATTGGCCTGCAGTAAGGTAGATTTGTTTCCAGTATCAGTTGAACTACAACCAATTTTATGATGAAATTGCTGTGCACCTGTTACAGTCTATGCTCTGTGGATCCCAACTTTAGTTAATTTATAAATACAATTCTGATGAACTAGACCAGTTTTCCTTAATTGTTAATTTGAAAATGTTTGATGAACACTCTGTGTGTTACAGTCTACATTCTGTGTGTTACAGTCTACATTCTGTGTGTTAATTACAGTCTACGTTCTGTGTGTTACAGTCTATGTTCTGTGTGTTAATTACAGTCTACGTTCTGTGTGTTACAATCTACGTTCTGTGTGTTACAGTCTACGTTCTGTGTGTTACAGTCTACGTAGACTGTAACACACAGAACGTAGACTGTAATAAACACACAGAATGTAGACTGTAACACAAAGAACGTAGACTGTAACACACAGAACGGAGACTGTAACACACAGAACGTAGACTGTGTGTTTCAGTCTACGTTCTGTGTGTTACAGTCTACATTCTGTGTGTTACAATCTACATTCTGTGTGTTACAGTCTACGTTCTGTGTGTTAATTACAGTCTACGTTCTGTGTGTTAATTACAGTCTACGTTCTGTGTGTTACAGCCTACGTTCTGTGTGTTAATTACAGTCTACGTTCTGTGTGTTAATTACAGTCTACGTTCTGTGTGTTACAGTCTACATTTTTGTGTGTTAATTACAGTCTACGTTCTGTGTGTTACAGTCTACGTTCTGTGTGTTAATTACAGTGTACGTTCTGTGTGTTACAGTCTACATTCTGTGTGTTACAGTCTACGTGCTGTGTGTTACAGTCTACATTCTGTGTGTTAATTACAGTCTACGTTCTGTGTGTTACAGTCTACGTTCTGTGTGTTACAGTCTACATTTTTGTGGGTTAATTACAGTCTACGTTCTGCGTGTTACAGTCTACGTTCTGTGTGTCACAGTCTACATTCTGTGTGTTACAGGCTACGTGCTGTGTGTTACAGTCTACGTTCTGTGTGCTACAGTCTACATTCTGTGTGTTACAGGCTACGTGCTGTGTGTTACAGTCTACGTTCTGTGTGTTACAGTCTACGTTCTGTGGACCTTAGTGGCAATGGTTTGGTTGGCCTACCCGCCCCACTACACTGGAAGTCAACGATGCTGAAGGAGATCTTACTCTGTAGAAACAGTATTAGTAAGGTACAGGGACACTGACAGTTATAGAGATAGCATACTATATAACATACAGGGGGAGACTGACAGTTATAGTGATTACATACTATATAACATACAGGGGGAGACTGACAGTTATAGTGATTACATACTATATAACATACAGGGGGACACTGACAGTTATAGTGATTACATACTCTATAACATGCAGGGGGATACTGACAGTTATAGAGATTACATACTATATAACATACAGGGGGACACTGACAGTTATAGAGATAGCATACTATATAACATACAGGGGGATACTGACAGTTATAGAGATTACATACTATATAACATACAGGGGGACACTGACAGTTATAGAGATAGCATACTATATAATATACAGGGGGAGACTGTCAGTAATAGAGATAGCATACTATATAATATACAGGGGGAGACTGACAGTTATAGAGATAGCATACTATATAATATACAGGGGGAGACTGCCAGTTATAGAGATAGCATACTATATAATATACAGGGGGAGACTGTCAGTAATAGAGATAGCATACTATATAATATACAGGGGGACACTGACAGTTATAGAGATATTCAATGAAAGTATGATTATCGAGTTTGATTTGATCCACTTTTAGAGAAGATGAAGATGTCCATTATAACCTTGCTGTACTGTACATTTAGCAAAATATTGATTTGATCAATCACTGGAAAGGAAATGTAAAGAGAAAAAGAAAAGTTTATCTTGATAAATGTTTGCATTAGGTGAGACAGCAAATAAAAACTGGACATTATATTAAGGTTTAACCCTTTCAACACTGTAGACCATAATGGACTCATCCAGATCAATGCATGGTAGATTCTACTAAAGTTACATAGGAGGGAAAGGGTTAACAATAAGAATGATTCTTCACTAGATTTCCATGCAGTCTATCTGCCACTATTTCTATCGACATTTGTAAAATGAAACAGTAGTTTTTGACAGGCTCAAGATTTACTTTAGGAATTTGATAATTTCGTGGAAACAACTGTTTGTAATTAATTTTGTTTTAAGCTGAACTTGGAGGGAGCTAAAGCCTGGTCTAAACTGGAGGCCCTCAATGTATCCAACAACAACATCAGTGAGGTGAGTATATAACAGCATATCTGATTGGATAATGTTGATCACATGGTTTAAAATTTGTTTCCTTCTGGCTGTATCTAGGCCTTTATTTAGTCCATTGACTTATAATTATGCAATTATCTATTCCAGCTTCATAAGGAGATTGGTCAGTTGACCTCTCTGACCTCTCTGGACATTAGCTACAACAAGTCCTTGACCTCACTTCCAGATGAACTAGGCAGGTGCTCAAAGATGTGGGAGGTATGTCCAACTTAGGTTGAAAGTGTTAAATGTGTTTAAATCTTTACTTACAGGCATCAGGAGTGGGCATCATGATAAAGTGTATTGTATTAACTGTATAAATCTCCCCTCATACCAATGTCCTTACATGAGTTTAGCTGTTGATTGGACATTAAACAATATAAGCCAGACTCCCCTCATACCAATGTCCTTACATGAGCTTAGCTGTTGATAGGACATTAAACAATATAAGCCAGACTCCCCACAAACCATCACACATTGTACTACATCACTGTCATATGTATATCATTGACATCAGTGCACACTGTACGATTGTACGCTGGACATATGGTTAAAGGGTAACACCAGACTATATTGTATGTTGTCTTTTGACTTCTGTGGATAACTATTTATTTAACATTATAATGAAAAGCAAAATATTATTTTGTGGAGACGACTCTTATAAAAGACCCAGCGCAGTAATATGGTTTATTTTGAACTGTTATATTATTATGTTATATAATACCTGACAGATGCCGTTGAAGGGGATTGGTTTTTCCCTAGACAGGATCCACAGGGGCAAAGTAAAGGACCTTATCGCATTCCTACACAACAAACTGAAAAAGGTAACCAATATTAATTAGGTTGGTACGTATATGAGTGTACAGTATATCCTGTCAGATCCTCTCTCCTGAATGGCAGAATTATTATCTGATATATCAGATTATATTTAAATTAGATGTATCATGACTAGGCAGTATGTCATGCACAACTCTTGCCAAATATGTAAGTTCAAGGCTTTGATATCTCAACTAATGTATGCTGGGAATTTTTTCTCCTTCGACTGCAAAATCCAATTTTCACCAAATATTATGTATTTGCCCTTCACATTTAATTTCTTTGTATATTATGTTAGTTACTAATGTTTGCTGTTAGGATTAATTTGCCCTCATAAATAAGGGTGAAAATTAAAACGTACCCAAAATTTTCCGGCATACAGTATTAAAAATTGAATTAATATATGTGTTATGATTGGACAGTTTGTTACAGTATCGGAATTATGTTAGAATACTTCAGTACTGTAAATTAATGATAGTTTAGGATGGAAATCTTGTGTGTTGTTTTGATCATAATACATTAAAGATTGTTACTTATCCGACTAGGCCACACGGTACTACCGTATGAAGTTGATGGTGGTGGGGTACGGTGGAAGAGGTAAATCTACATTACTGAGAGCCTTGATGAAACAGAGCCCACAGCCCGACATACCCACTGTTGGGGTCATAGTTAAGGACTGGAAGTAGGTCAAGTTTTACAGACTACAGAATAACTCATGTTCAAAACTTTTCATCATATATCTGCATCTAATAATATTTTTTTATATTTTGAGCTCACCTGCCCGAAGGGCAAGTGAGCTTATGTCATGGTGTGGCGTCCGTCGTCCGTCTGTCCGTCAACTTTTCCTTTAAACAACTTCTTCTGAAGAACGGACAGGCCTAGAGTCATGATATTTTGCTTAAAGCTTTGGTGATGGAGCCCTACAAGGTTTGAGAACGAAAATGACCTTGACCTACTTTCAAGGTCACGGGTCAAATATGTCAAACACTTCAAACAACTTCTTCTGAAGAACTAAAAGGTATAGAATCTTCATATTTGGCTGATGGCTTCCTGGGATGGAGCTTAACAAAGTTTGGGGATGAAAATGAAGTTGACCTACTTTCAAGGTCACAGGGGTCAAATGTGTCAAACACTTCAAACAACTTCTTCTCAAGAACTAAAAGGTATAGAATCTTCATATTTGGCTGATGGCTTCCTGGGATGGAGCTTAACAAAGTTTGGGGATGAAAATGAAGTTGACCTACTTTCAAGGTCACAGGGGTCAAATGTGTCAAACACTTCAAACAACTTCTTCTCAAGAACTAAAAGGTATAGAATCTGCATATTTGGCTGATGGCTTCCTGGGATATAGCCCAACAAAGTTTGAGGATGAAAGTGACCTTGACCTTCTTTCAAGGTCACAGGGGTCAAATGTGTCAAAAGCTTCAAATGACTTCTTTTGAAGAACTGAAAGGTATAGAATCTTTATATTTGATTGATGGCTTCCTGGGATAGAGCCCAACAAAGTTTGAGGAGGAAAATAACCTTGACCTTCTTTCAACGTCTTATGAGGCAGATATGTCAAACACTTAGAACAACTTCTTCTGAAGAACTGACAGGTATAATATCTTAATATTCGGCAGGTGGCTTCCTGGGAAAGAGCCAAACAAAGTTTGTGAATGAAAATGACCTTGACTTGCTTTCAAGGTCACAGCGTTCAAATATGTCAAACAGTTCAAACTACTTCTTCTGAAGAATTAAAGGCATAAAATTATAATATTTGGCTGGTGACTTCGTGGGATAGAGCTCACCAAAGTGTGCGAATGAAAATGACCTCAACCTACTTTAGAGGTCACAGAGGTCAACAACATTTTAATGGATTTGTTCTTAAGAACTAAAAGGAATGGATTCATAAGATTTGGCTGATAGCTTTATGGAATAGAGCTAACCAATTTGAGAAGGAAAATGACATTGACCTACTTACAAGGTCACAGGGAAAAATATGTCAAGCAACTTCTGAAGAAGAATAAAAAAGCATAGAATCTTATAATAATATTTTGCTGGTAGTTTCAACGGATGAAGCCAACACAGTTTGCGCGGGAAATATTTTTAGTGCAATATAATATTTAATTAGAATATTTTGCTATGACTGCTTAAATATTAAGGTGAGCGATACAGGCCCTCTTGGGCCTCTTGTTGTTAATTTTCATGAACCATTACATGTATTATATATAACCAAACTAGTTACAGTTGTGGATGATCAGTCTTGTAGTGTTACTCTCAACCTCTTAAAGGTACAGCATCACTTTTCACCTGACATTGGAATGATACAGAAATTCAATGTATTTTTCTTTGTGTCAGATTTGAAAGGCAGAAACATTTTGACGATTTCCATGGCAGTGTGACGTACACAATCAACACGTGGGACTTCGCTGGACAGGAGGACTTCTACAGTACCCATCAGTGCTACCTCACCGACAGGGCCGTTTATCTGGTAACTGGTTGTTTACCTAGTAACAGGGCCGTTTATCTGGTAACTGGTTGTTTACCTAGTAACAGGGCCGTTTATCTGGTAACTGGTTGTTTACCTAGTAACAGGGCCGTTTATCTGGTAACTGGTTGTTTACCTAGTAACAGGGCCGTTTATCTGGTAACTGGTTGTTTACCTAGTAACAGGGCCGTTTATCTGGTAACTGGTTGTTTACCTAGTAACAGGGCTGTTTATCTGGTAACTGGTTGTTTACCTAGTAACAGGGCCGTTTATCTGGTAACTGGTTGTTTACCTAGTAACAGGGCGGTTTATCTGGTAACTGGTTGTTTACCTAGTAACAGGGCCGTTTATCTGGTAACTGGTTGTTTACCTAGTAACAGTGTCGTTTATTTTGTAATGGGGTTATTTTTCTCACCGACAGGGCAGCTTATCTGGTAATGGGGTTATTAAACTCATCGACAGGGCCATTTATCTGGTAACAGGATTATTTACCTCACCAACAGGGCAGTTTATCTGATAACAGGATTATTTACATCACCCAGACAGGGCAGCTTATCTGGTAACAGGGTTATTTACATCACCAACAGGGCTATTTATCTGGTAACAGGGTTATTTACCTCACCGAGACAAGGCGGCTTATCTGGTAACAGGGTTATTTACCTCATGGACATAAGGGCTGTTTATCTGATAACTGGTTGTTTACCTAGTAACAGGGCCATTTATCTATTAATGGTGTTATTTATCTAGTAACGGGGTTAATTCATCTTGTGACAGGGTCACTTATTTGAAAATGGTTTGTTTACTAAGAAACAGTGTCGTTTATCTGGTAACGGGGTTATTAACCTCACTAACTGGGCCATTTTTCTGGTAACTGGTTGTTTATCTATAGTGCCAGGGCCATTTATATAGTAACGAGGTTGTTTATCTAGTAACAGGGCCGTTTATCTGGTAACAGGGTTGATTACCTAATAACAGGGACATTTATCTGGTAACAGGGTTGTTTACCTAGTAACAGGGCTCTTTATCTGGTAACAGGTTTGTTAATCTAGTGCCAGGGACATTTATATGGTAACAGGGTTGTGTATCTAGTAACAGGGCCTTTTATCTGGTAACATGGTTGTTTACCTAGTAACAGGGCTGTTTATCTGGTAACGGGGTTGTTTACCTTAACAGGGCCGTTTATCTGGTAACAGGGTTGTTTACCTAGTAACAGGGCTGTTTACCTAGTAACAGGGCCGTTTATCTGGTAACAGGGTTGTTTACCTAAAAACAGGGCTGTTTATCTGGTAACAGGGTTATTTACCTAGTAACAGGGCTGTTTACCTAGTAACAGGGCCGTTTATGTGGTAACAGGGTTGTTTACCTAAAAGCAGGGCTGTTTATCTGGTAACAGGGTTGTTTAGCTTAACAAGGCTGTTTATCTGGTAACAGGGTTGTTTACCTAATAACAGGGTCGTGTAGCTGGTAACAGGGTTGTTTACCTAATAACAGGGTCATGTATCTGGTAACAGGGTTGTTTACCTAATAACAGGGCCCTTTTGATATCAATTATCTGACCTCCTTCAACCTTTGTCTTCATTCTATATGTTGTGTGGAAACTTTACTATTTACTAGATGTGTGATACATATGTCATAATGTGGAAATCAAATGGTTTACATGAATTAAAATTTTGTATAATTTGTGATAATTTAAGCAAAATATTATAAAAGCAAAAAAAAGTCAATTGCACTAAAACGCTCTACCTATTGTAGTATAGTGATCGTAATTCTAAAACATGTCCGAACTTTGAATATAAAATGCAGTTTGATATTAGATACATGACACTATAAATAGTTTATATTTTCCCGTAATTTTGCAAGAATACCTGTCTATACCTGTATTTAAGGACATCAATTTTGGTTTCACTTAGCCTGTATGTCCACTGTTATATAAAAAATCTTCTTCTTATGATACTTAAAGTTACCATAGGTGTTTGTTGCAAATTACGCAAAAGTAAATATCATGGAAAATAGAAATATTTACAGTTTTTCAAATAATATGAAATAGTATTGATGGGTTGAAGGAGCTTTATTGGTCTGTTACAACAGGTGGTGATGGACCTGCGTCGGGGGATGGAGGAACTTAACCTGTTGAGATCGTGGCTCGCTAACATACACGCGCGTGCCCCAGGATGTCCGGTGATCGTGGTTGGTACTCATGCTGACTGTGTGGCAGACAACAAGCGGCTGCAGCTACAGAATCACATCAGGATGAAGCTCCGCGACCTCGTCATCAAACTAGGTAGGACATTATCATGTGTAGCTCAGGGAAGGGTTCATTAGTATTAGAATACTGGGAAATTAAAAAAAAAATCATTGTTTTGTGGGTCCTCTTCATCAGCAAATTTACAGGTCCAACATATTAAATAAAGGTTTGACATAAAGCTTTTCTCCAGATGACTGTTACTCTTGATCCACGAAGTCATGTCTCCACAACATTATGTGTTTTGGGGAAACCACAAAATTTTGGCCTCACAAAAATATCAGATTTCACAGCATAGGTATTTCTGCATCTGGTAACAAACAATTACACTGCATTACAGGTATAAACTAAATGCTACATTCTGTACAATGTAATTAGGTGACTACTGTTCCTCCTACACAATCCACCCAGCCACTGAAAAACCTGTAAATTCTCAGGCTATATATACCTGCCATGCCTATCTTCTATGGAGGGAGATTAGATTTGACTTACCTGTATGATATGACATTTGTCTGTAGGGTTTGCTGACATCCAGGACTTTGTTACGGTGAACTGTACTAAAGAAACACCTGAGATGGAGAGACTTCGAGAGTTCATCAAGGAGAAGATTGACAGGTAATAATATTTCAAGATAGTGGTAACATCCCTTCAAAGCAAAGGGGAGATAACTATTTTATGATTTGTTGTTGACAGTGAACGGGATATAACTATTAAATTTCTGTGTTGTTTACAGTTACAATGTAAAGAGGAGACAACCGCCTTATTAATTTTCTATGTTTTTTACAGTTGTTGAATGGTAAAGGGGAGATAACTGTTGTGTTCTATGTTGTCTACAGCTATACAAGTAAGGGGAGATCATTATTGTCTTCTGTTATACAATGAAGGGGAGATAACTTTGCGGCTTATTAATTCTGTCCAGAGAACGAAATGACGGACCCACTTCCGTTCGGGGTGCGTGCGCATATTTTAGTCTTGCATGCTTCCGCTATATAGTTTCGTTATCGTAAATAGAAAGTAGAATCTCTGACACTCACATGTGGGTTACATAAAGTCTTCTGATACTCTTATCCAAATAATAATCCATACTTTAAATAATTGCTGAAAATAAAATGTTTATCTCCGGTGCATTCTACAATGTTGTGGTGGTGAAATTCATGCACTGAGTTTGAGCGTTTTAGCAACTCGGATTGAGGTCTGAGGAGGTTTACGCGTGTGAAACACATATGATTCGAGAAAGTACATGTGAAGACTATCAAGCATTGATGCTGTCTGTATAAGGAGGAAGTAAATATATATACTTATAAACCGTTTGAGTATTTTCAAGTATAACCTTTATTTTGATGTTTCAAAGGGGAAAGTAATATGACATATCGTGCTTAGGTTGACAACGGTAATCGCTTTGAGACGAGACGATATGTGAACCGTGTATGCTTATCAAACATTTCTGTAACACAGCATGCTTTTTCTAGTGTATTTAGTATGAAAATGTAACAATTTAAGAACATGACACAACTGCCGCTGCTGTTTGACAAGAATTCACAACGTTTCAAAATATTATCCAATCCGGTGTAAGGGAAATAACTCTTACGTTGGTAAAGTCGCATTGAGAAATATAATTCATTCAATAACAGTAAATAAAGTCACTACATGTATTATAATTATTATTAATATGAATAAAAAATAAATAAAAATAAAAGGAGTACACCCTTCATTTCACAAGCACAAAATGCACCTATTCTTTATTATCCATTCACCGATTGCCATTATGCACGTAAATGCTCATGTCACATCATCGGAGGATTCTAATTAATGAAAATTACAACAATGCGTCACACTTAAAGAGGGTGAAAAAAGAGGAGAGGGAGAATGTTTTTAAGGCATCATTTAAGAGGTGATTGATTTTGGAAATTCAAAAGGCAACATCATCACATGACCTGATTTTCAGTTAACAGAATACAGAACACATATCTGAGGTATTATAGAAGATATTGATGCTCAACGTGTTACTGAAGCAATTAATTTTAAAGTGGTGAGCGGCTTTAATGTCACACTGACATAATTCTAGTTTTCTTTTCTTTTTCTTTTTACAGTTACAAAGTAAAGGGTCAGCCTGTGATGGGACAGAAGGTCCCAGCTGACTATGTGGTAAGATAGAATTTCTGGGTGAAAGGTTAACAGGTCGTGATAGACAAGCATAGAGTATCTGGGTGAAAGGTTAACAGGTCGTGATAGACAAGCATAGAGTATCTGGGTGAAAGGTTAACAGGTCGTGATAGACAAGCATAGAGTATCTGGGTGAAAGGTTAACAGGTTGTGATAGACAAGTATTTAAGTTTTGTTTCACTCTATCAGGTCTGAAGGTAAGACAGGTTTATCTTTACAGTGAAATAAAACTTACTATACAATCTGGCTAATTAACTATCATAGGACCAATACCCCAAATGTTTTCTTTATCTGTTATCAATCTGTCTTTGCACTTTGCCTAAATGTTGAAGGTAAAGTTTTCAAAGACAAATTAGTGTAGTGCAAAGTAAACTTGGTAATTGATTATTTACATGTATGTGATAAAAAAAACCACTATTGACATATCTATGCATCGACGGATTGTTAATGTATTGTAATAGGCTAGCATTTACCTTTTAGGAGCTCTAGATTGTTCACCATGTTTCCTGCCAATGTCAAGTCAGATTGTAAAATATCACTAATATATTAGATGCCATAATTTTGTGTTACAGACTGCTAAGTGTTAGATCCAGTAAAAGAAGGTAACATTATATAATTTCCTTCTATTTATCCATCAATTTCAACTTTTTATTATATCTTGTTTAATGCACCTGCATTTTACCAGAAACTTGCTGAAGTATTGGAGGAGGAAGTTCGTGCTGAACATACTAAGTACCCCATCATCACACACACCCAGCTTCTCAAGGTCGTGGAGAAGCATAAGCTTGACCTTGAGGAGGAGGATTTGAAGCAGGCAGTACGGTTCCTACACCGAAGTGGTGTGCTGCTTCACTACGAGGATGCTGCGCTACAGCTGAAGGATCTGTACTTTCTAGACCCAAGCTGGCTGTGTGGTATGATGGCTCAGGTCGTCAATGTACGTCAGATCAACAACGGGGTAGGTGTTCTATCAGACCTCCCTTTATATTGACTGTATGTCAGATCAACCACTTCAAAAGGAATGGGGTAGGTGTTCTATCAGACCTCCCTTTATATCGACAGTACGTCAAATCAACCACTTCATCAGGAATGGGGTGGGTGTTCTATCAGACCTCCCTTTATATCAACTATACGTCAAATCAACCACATCATCAGGAATGGGGTAGGTGTTCTATCAGACCTACCTTTATAGTCACTGTACGTCAGATCAACCACTTCATCAGGAATGGGGTAGGTGTTCTATCAGACCTACCTTTATAGTCACTGTACGTCAGATCAACCCCTTCATCAGGAATGGGGAAGTTGTTCTATCAGACCTCCCTTTATTGTCACTGTACGTCAGATCAACCACTTCATCAGGAAGGGGGTAGGTGTTCTATCAGACCTACCTTTATAGTCACTGTACGTCAGATCAACCCTTTCATCAGGAACAGGGTAGGTGTTCTATCAGACCTACCTTTATAGTCACTGTACATCAGATCAACCCCTTCATCAGGAACAGGGTAGGTGTTCTATCAGACCTTCTTGTATAGTCACTGTATGTCAGATCAACCCTTTCATCACTACCTAACAAGTGTCAGGCCTATATGCAACACATTAGCATGTAATTGTAATCATGACAGAAAATAAATATTCTTTATCTTTTTACAAAACTTGTACATGTACCAGAAACTCAACGAGTGTCAGTTGTTTGTTATATGAAAATAAAGTGATAAATGTTTTTGGCCGACAGATTCTACGTAGGGAGGACATGAAGTTGTTGTTAACAGGGAAGAAGCTGAAGAGAGAGGGAGAGAGGACGTTCTTCTTCCCAATCGACTTCCTACCCCAGTACATCAGGGTACTGGAGAAGTAAGTGTATAGAGACAGTAGTCATCAGGTCAAGGTCACCCTAGTGGTTATCACCTCCCCCAGTACATCAGGGTACTAGAGAGGTGAGGGGATAGAGACAGTAGTCATTAGGTCAAGGTCACCCTAGTGGTTATCATCTACCCCAGTACATCAGGGTACTAGAGAGGTGAGTGTATAGAGACAGTAGTCATTAGGTCAAGGTCACCCTAGTGGTTATCACCTACCCCAGTATATCAGGGTACTAGAGAAGTAAGTGTATAGAGACAGTAGTCATTAGGTCAAGGTCATCCTAGTGGTTATCATCTACCTCAGTACATCAGGGTACTGGAGAAGTAAGTGCATAGAGACAGTAGTCATTAGGTCAAGGTCACCCTAGTGGTTATCACCTACCCCAGTACATCAGGTTACTAGAGAGGTAAGTGTATAGAGACAGTAGTCATTAGGTCAAGGTCACCCTAGTGGTTATCATCTACCCCAGTACATCAGGGTACTGGAGAAGTAAGTGTATAGAGACAGTAGTTATTAGGTCAAGGTCACCCTAGTGGTTATCACCTAGCCCAGTACATCAGGGTACTGGAGAAGTAAGTGTATAGAGACAGTAGTCAATAGGTCAGGGTCACCCTAGTGATTATCACCTACCCCAGTACATTAGGGTACTAGAGAGGTGAGTGTATAGAGACAGTAGTCATAAGGTCAAGGTCACCCTAGTGGTTATCACCTACCCCAGTACATCAGGGTACTGGAGAAGTAAGTGCATAGAGACAGTAATAATTAGGTCAAGGTCACCCTAGTGGTTATCACCTACCCCAGTAAAGCAGGGTACTTGAGAAGTAGGTGTATAGAGACAGTAGTTATTAGGTCAAGGCCACCCTAGTGGTTATCACCTACCCCAGTACATCAGGGTACTGGAGAGGTAAGTGTCTAGAGACAGTAGTCATTAGGTCAAGGTCACCCTAGTGGTTATCGCCTACCCCAGTACATCAGGTTACTAGAGAGGTAAGTGTATAGAGACAGTAGTCATTAGGTCAGGGTCACCCTAGTGGTTATCACCTACCCCAGAACATCAGGGTACTGGAGAAGTAAGTGTATAGAGACAGTAGTTATTAGGTCCAGGTCACCCTAGTGGTTATCACCTACCCCAGTAAAGCAGGGTACTTGAGAAGTAAGTGTATAGAGACAGTAGTTATTAGGTCCAGGTCACCCTAGTGGTTATCACCTACCCCAGTACATCAGGGTACTGGAGAAGTAAGTGTATAGAGACAGTAGTCATTAGGTCAAGGTCACCCTAGTGTTTATCACCTACCATCATAGTGAGGTTTTTTGCTTATCCACTTGCTAGTGTGAATAGCTATCCCGTTGTAAGTCGGTCCCGTGGAGACATCACTACGCCTGTGTTATGGTCTCATAACACAGAACAGACCTTGGTAGTGTTATAAAGTGGCTGGCAGTACAAATGTAAATAAATAGTACTAAAGATTCACATTTTGTCAATGATTTGGAACAATTGTGAAGGGACTTTTAGGTGAATACCAAATTTGATGTCTAGGGTTGACCTTTTGAATGTGTTACATGAGACAAAAAATTATAGAAATGTTGGTTTGAGCACAAAATCCATACCTGAGGAAGATAACAGTTTCAAGATAACAGGTCTCGGTTTAATCTGTCTATTAATGCTTCAGTCACATTTGTCTAGATTTCCTAAAAAGGCGACTGGCGATGAGTTCTTGGCCAAAATCTGCACATATTTACACACCATATAAAATGCGAAATATTGTATCCTGCCCAATCACACGGCCGCACAAACATCTTTCAGCTACCGTACGACAGCCCGGCCATTGTCAGATATATTTTTCCAAAATTTTGTAAAGTCATATTTTGCTTCAGGTTTGAAATTGCTCTGCAGTACTCAGAGGAAGAAGTCCTCATTCCGTACCATCTGCCTGACAAACGGCCAGACCTGCAAATGCCACACCTCAAAATAAATGGTACGATGTTTGACATATTTCAACAGGATTGTTTTGGGTTTTTTTATATAGAGAGATATTAAAGAGGATATTTATATCAATGATAATCAATTTTTTCTCAAAATTTTTGGGATTTTGTTTGTTTTTTTGCAGACATGTTATTAACCCTTTGACCTTGTGACATTGACTTTTTACATTTGACCTTACAGAGAAGATCTGTCGCCACTACTCGATGCCACTTGTGCCTCTGGGTCTGTGGTCACGCCTCATCACTCGCCTAGTCGCATTCTCTAACAGCGCCCTCACTCTGGTAGGTGCTGTTAGAAAAGGGTGAAAACCATGTGTCACCCACAAAAGTAACAGCATAAATTTACTAGAGGTTTTTAACAGGCAGACATCATTATCTAATAAAAAAAACTGTACAGTTTGTGACTCAATTAAGTTTCAGATTATGTTTTCCTTAAGTCTGTTTAATTTTGAATCCATACAAGTTATTATGGAAAGATTTAATAAGGGTTACTGATGACCAGTTGAAATTGCAAAATATAAGAGAATTTTGAATATTCAGTTGATCTTTTCAATTTTTTTATTTTTTCTTAATCTGCAGAGCACATTCTTGAAAAAACATGATAATAAAAGGAGAATGTGTAGTTACTGAAAATGTATCTGTTGGTGAATTGTAAATTTTTTCTTGAATGTACTCTATAAATGCTAAAAGAAAAGCAGTGATTATAATAGTTATAATTGATTAGACCCTGGTGGAAGAGAAGAGACCCCCTACAATGAAGTACTGGAAGAAGGGCATATTTGGCTTCTGGTCTCGTGTAAGTACAGGTGTTTTAATGTTGACAGGAGTTACAATTCTGACAGTTGTTACCATGGTGACAGTGGTTACCATGTTGACGGTGTTTACAGGTGTTACCATATTGACAGTCATTTCCTTGTGAACAGATGTTTCCCATCTAACATCACTGTTTAACTGGGCAGTTATATTACTGATGTAGTTACTAATCAGGGCCAGTAACAAATTTGCCCCGCCAATCCTGTATTTAACTTAATTTCAGAAATATGCAAAAATGATTAGACCTTCTGAAAGTTTCATAGAACATGCCTTGACCATGAAGATCTACCTTGTACAAATTAAGGAAAATGTGTCCATTTGTAATGATGAAGGAGGAAAACGAATGTCACAGAGCACTTTCCTCAGTATCAAGTTATCATTGAGTAATAATTAAACAACGTTATAGTAAATAACTTCATAAACAGCTTGGTCTGTGAATTAGATGATTCCTGTAGACCTAGAGTCTAGTTGGTTATGGTGATTGTCTATGGGTGTGTAATGTTAAATTCTAACACTGTACTTCTGTCTATAAACAGAGTTCATTCTTCCTGCTGGACTATCACTTCCTAGAGGATGAAGAGATACACCTGATGGTGCCCAGTACCTCCAAGGGCTCCACGTGAGTTAAAAATAGATAGGATTAACCAGTAGAGCTTGGCTGGTGTCAATGTAAACATGAATACTATTGGTCAGCAGAACTAATATCAATGTAAATATGGGTATGATTGGTCAGTAAAACTAATATCAATGTAAATATGGGTATGATTGGTCAGTAAAACTAATATCAATGAAAACATGGATATGATTGATCAGTAAAACTAATATCAATCTAAACATGGGTATGATTGGTCAGTAAAACTAATATCAATCTAAACATGGGTATGATTGGTCAGTAAAACTAATATCAATCTAAACATTGATATGATTGGTTAGTTATAACCATCATAAAAAGCAAATGTGTATGTATGTAGTTGGTTGGTCAATAGACCATTTCATTATTGTGGACAGTGGTTGACAAAATTCCACCATTTAGGTCAGTATTTAAAGAGCCAATACATATTACGTATACAATACAGTCAGTGTCATTATTAATGTTATTTAATTGATGTTGGTACAAATGTAAGACCTAGTGGGGTTATACCGGTCTTTCAGTCATCTAGCTGGAGAGAACATGTGTATAGGACTAGGATAGCAAAATTTAATTTTCTAATTAAGATTGAAATGTTTAATACAGTTATACATGTAACTAGTGTACAGGAAAAAATGTTCTTTTTGTTTTGAAAATTCCTCAAATTCACTGTAATGTTTGACAACTTTGATCCAGGTTGTTTGGGCTCTTGGTTGACCACATCACTGCCCTGGTGGAGGAATGGTACCCCGGTCTGACAAGTTTAGACCCAGTCCAGGGGAGAGAACTCCTGGTACAACACGTGCCCTGTATAGGGTGTACAGGTAAAGCTAGACTCAATACATTTACCTGGTTTATGATTATGTCAAAAAAGTGTATATAAATCTCCACCCAACACTTTTCTAGGTAAATAGCTAGTCAAGTGACAAGTGTAAACTGAATTATAGTTATCATTACAAAGTTGTTTGATGTGACAGCAGGGACTGAATATTGGTTGTCAAAACATTAATGCACATCAGTTATGATTAATACCGTCACATTTCATTCAACATCATTTTACATTTAAATAGCAATCACCATGCCATGTGTATTTCGCAGTTTGCGAACCAACTGCATAGTGCTTGGTTATATCATGAAGAAATCAAGCCTTTTGGATAATTCCTCCAGCACTCATACACACACATACATGCACCCACAACACACATGGTGGCACGTCCTTAAACAACCGAAATAATAATAGGATGTTGATTATAGGATGTTAATCCCTGTAAAACCAACCAGCCTTTTGGATAAAAGGTTAACTTCAGAAAGTAAAACTAAACATTTCACTGACGCAAATAAAATAAGTATTTTCACTAAACACAGATGTGGATGTCCAGAAACACTTCCTGTTGGACGACCTGCTGGACCAGACCAAGTCAGGCATGGAAATCTACTGTGATGTGCACAAGGGTTATGTCCCTTTGTCTAAGCTGGTAGGTTTTCCATTCTCCATGGTTGTTTATAAGGCCCCTTTTGCTTGCCCTGTCTGTTTTTAAATGTTACATTTTCGAGTATAAATCCTGGTGGATCTACAAATGTCTATGCAGGCCTCGTAAGGCTTTGTCAAGGTTCGCCTGAAAATTGAACAACTCTGGTCCAACTGGTTCAACCGTTTGGATCGTAACAAGGATTGAGGCTTAATGCTCCCACTGGTAGTGTATTACTATAGACCTTGCCATCATTTAGTCATTAAACAGTTAAAACCCTCTCTTCAAACATTTGATTGAGGGAGGATAAGGTGTTGTGGCTACTTGATATGATGGAAATAGGATATGAAAGAAATTGAATCTGAAAATAAAATATAACCACTTAAAACCCTTAAATCAAGTTTGCATATTGATTAACGTTTCGATAATAATTATAGTTACCCTGGGTAATTGTATTAAACTGAACCCTCTGTAACCTGATATCTGTAACTTGCGCCACTTCATATATTTCTATGTAAATTAAACTGGTACACTAACAAACTGTCTGTTCTGCGCAGAATGTTACTGGTGTTAGTTTGTAGTTTAGACTGATTTCACTGTAAATTCTTGCACACATTTTTGTTTTACAAAATATTGATGAGAAACTCCAATTAAAAGATGAATATCTTTTCATATTTCAGGCTCCAGATATTATTCTGAATGATGTGAAACCAGAGCTACAAGTTGACCATTCTGTTTTTGAATTTGAGGAAAAGTAAGTATCTATTGGTCACAATATAGTATTTGATGATAAGAAATGTGTTTTAATATTAAAATAAATATTCATGGGGAAGTTTCAAAGTGTAGCTACTTCATCATATCAAATTAATTACATTGTAACAATTGATTGGAATGAAACCTTGTGATACTGGCTCAGTTCTGATTTATTTTAATTTTCATTTTTTTCATTTTTATACAATATTTCTATAACAATATAGTTTTATTGTAATTCTTAATATTGACTTGGTTTTAATGGAGTAGTTACATCAAAATAACCATGATATTAATGGGTTATGTTTCTGTTTTCAGTCCCGATAACTTGCTGGGAGACGGAGGTTATGGGGCTGTGTACAAAGGCGTCTACAAAGGACAGGTAGAGAAATGGAGGTCGTACTTAATAGGGAACATATATAATAATAATAATAATTTGCAGTTTTTATAAACCGCTTTATCACAACCTAGTTCGTAGGTCGTCTCAAAGCGGTTCACAAATTATTATCCGTGGTTATAGGGCCATCGCAACCACCCAATTTCTTTCTAAACTCCCGGTGCTGCCATTTCGGCGATTACAGCTAACATTCAACAATTCTAGCGCTGCCCAACCAAAAACTCATTTACAGTAGAGTAGACTGAAACAAGGGGATTACATACATTTCTGTTTGCGGTTTGTACCTTAAAACATATATTTCGGTGTCTGATGACGAGTTTGTGTTTTGTTCCTTGTAACATATATTTCTGTGTCTGATGACGAGTTTGTGTTTTGTACCTTGTAACATATATTTCTGTGTCTGATGACGAGTTTGTGTTTTGTAGCCAGCAGCCATTAAGGCGTTCAATGTTATCGGAGCAGTACACCCCCACAAGATACAGAGACAAGAGGTAGCTAATACTACTTCTAGATAAAACATATCTTACCAAGAATTTACTCTTTCTTTCATTTAAAAATTAACTTGGTCTGAGTTGAATGCGATCTTTGTATATGGATCTTAGTGAGTTGGTGTTAAATGTGTTTGTGATTGAAATGTTTTCCATCTATAAGATGCTGGATATATCGCTATTGGTTTATTTTAGGCGACAGTGCTGAGGTGTTTGAACCACCCCAGTATCGTGTCCCTGTTAGGTGTCAGTTTCCAGCCCCGTGTTATAGTCCTAGAACTGGCACCTAAAGGATCCCTGGGAAATGTCCTCAAGTCCGGGCGTCCACTGGACCGTATCATGCAACACCGCATAGCCTTACAGGTAATGATAAGTATGCAGGGTGTCCTCTGGACCGTATCATGCAACACCGCGTAGCCTTACAGGTACTGATAAGTTATTTAGAAGCTTGTCATTCATTAGGTTTATGTACTAGGATGCTGATATATGGCATAAGGTTCCTGTGGAGAATGATATTGATGTAGTGAAGTGAAAATTAAAAAATGATTTCAAATTTTGAATTATGTTTACCTGTTTTGTTTGTACTTAACTGTTTTGAAGCACATCAACGTTTAAGTTTTAACTGCAAGTTATATAGAAGCTTGTCATTCATTTAATATGTGTACTAGAATGCTGATATTTGGCATGGAGGTTCCTGTGGAGTATGATATTGATGTAGTGAAGTTAAAATTTATAAATGATTTCAAAATATTTTGGAATTTTCCACCTGTTTTGTACTTAACTGTTTTGAAGTACATCAGCATTTAAATTTTAATTGCAAGTTATTTAGAAGCTTGTCATTCATTAAATATGTGTACTAGGACGCTGATATTTTGCATAGAGGTTCCTGTGGGGTAAAATATAAGAAGTGAAGTTAAAATTTTTAAAAAAATTAAATATTTTTTTTAGACTTTTGACCTGTTTTGAACTTTACATTTTTACAAACAAATTATTAAATAGGATAAAATTTTAAACAGGCGAGCATTGGTGGCTTTGACACCATCTCTGGTTGTGGAAATGACAACATTGATCTCAATTTGTCACAGAAATACAATTATGTGCTTACGCAAATTATACCAATATATTTATATCAATCTAAAAATAATGTTATAAATCACAGAGTAAAGAGGTTCTAGTTAAGAACTGTTACATTATATTTTGTCAGGTTGCTGAGGGCCTGGTCTATCTACACCAGTTGATGATTGTCTACCGTGATATGAAGCCAGACAACGTTCTGATCTACAGTCTAGATCTTAACTCACCTGTAAGTCTGACTGCTACTCACCTGTAAGTTTTACTCTAACTTGCCTGTAACTCTGACCTTAACTCAACTGTAAGGTTGACCTTAACTCACCTGTAAGTCTGGCTGCTACTCACCTGTAAGTTTTACTCTAACTCACCTGTAAGTCTTACCTCGACTCAACTGTAAAATTGACTTTGACTCACCTGTATGTTTGACCTTGACTCACCTGAAAGTTTGACCTCAACTAACCTGTTAGTTTGACCTTGGCTCACCTGTAAGTCTTACCTCTGCTCACCTGTAAATTTGACTTCAACTCACCTGTAAATCTGACCACAACTCACCCTTAAGTTTGACTCCAACTGGAAGTTTGACCTTTGCTCACTTGTAAGTGTAAATAAGTCTAATCTTTGGCCTATATCAGCTATGAAACTTGACTCTAACTTGCATTTGAATGCATCCAAATATTTCCTATTGTACAGATAAATGCCAAGGTTTCTGACTATGGAATTGCTCGGTTTGCCACGCTGGACGGATTGTTGGCCCAGGAGGGAACACCTGCCTACCGAGCTCCGGAGGTCATCCGCGGAGAATCATACTCCTTCACGGTACTCATCCTATAACACTTAGAACTCCCTCGGTCGTCTGTGGTCAAGGGCTAACAAAATAATCAAATGTATTACATTGACTTTCTTTCAAGGTCCAGAGGTCAAACGTGTACATATACTCAAATTATCTCTTCTTTAGAACTGTGAGGCCTAGAGTGTTGACATTTTCACTGCTTCTAGCTGGAATGAAGGTCTAAACAAGTGTGTTCAATTAAATTTTGACCACCATTCAAGGTCATAAAGGTTAAATGTGTTTAATGACTTCTTCTAACAGGCCATGCATCCTTTAGCCATTCTATGTGGTCAGCAGCTTTCTAGGATAAAGTGGTATCAACTTTGTTTAGATAAATAAATTTGAACAACATTTGTGGTAACTAGAGTAGTGGACTAGAGTAGAGAACTAGAGTAGTGGACTAAAGTAGAGGACTAGAGTAGAGGACTAGAGTAGAGTAGAGTAGAGTAGAGGACGAGAGTAGAGGACTAGATTAGAGTAGAGTAGAGGACTAGTGTAAAGGACTAGAGTAGAGCACTAGAGTAGAGTAGAGAACTAGAGTAGAGGACTAGAGTAGAGTTGATGACTAGAGTAAAGGACTAGAGTAGAGGACTAGAGTAGAGGAGAGTAGAGTAGAGGACTAGAGTAGAGGCCTAGAGTAGAGTAGAGTAGAGTAGAGGACTAGAGTAGAGGACTAGATTAGAGTAGAGTAGAGGACTAGTGTAAAGGACTAGTGTACAGGACTAGAGTAGAGGACTAGTGTAGAGGACTACAGAAGAGGACTAGAGTAGAGTAGAGGACTAGAGTAGAGGACTAGTGTAGAGGACTAGAGTAGAGGACTAGAGTAGAGTAGAGGACTAGAGTAGAGGACTAGTGTAGAGGACTCGAGTAGAGGACTAGAGTAGAGTAGAGAACTAGAGTAGAGGACTAGAGTAGAGTTGATGACTAGAGTAAAGGACTAGAGTAGAGGACTAGAGTAGATGACTAGAGTAGAGTAGAGAACTAGAGTAGATTACTAGTGTAGAGGACTAGTGTACAGGACTAGAGTAGAGGACTAGTGTAGAGGACTAGAGTAGAGTAGAGGACTAGAGTAGAGGACTAGAGTAGAGGACTAGTGTAGAGGACTAGAGTAGAGGACTAGTGTAGAGGACTAGAGAAGAGTAGAGTAGTGGACTTGAGTAGAGGACTAGAGTAGAGTAGAGAACTAGAGTAGAGGACTAGAGTAGAGTTGATGACTAGAGTAAAGGACTAGAGTAGAGGACTAGAGTAGAGGACTAGTGTAGATGACTAGAGTAGAGGACTAGTGTAGAGGACTAGAGAAGAGTAGAGTAGTGGACTTGAGTAGAGGACTAGAGTAAAGTAGAGAACTAGAGTAGAGGACTAGAGTAGATGACTAGAGTAGAGTAGAGAACTAGAGTAGAGAACTAAAGTAGTGGACTAGAGTAGAGGACTTGAGTAGAGGACTAGAATAGAGGACTAGTGAAGAGTAGAGTAGTGCACTAGAGTAGAGGACTAGAGTTAAGGACTAGAGTAGAGGACTAGAGTAGAGGACTAGAATAGAGGACTAGTTAAGAGTAGAGTAGTGGACTAGAGTAGAGGACTAGAGTAAAGGACTAGAGTAGAGGACTAGAGTAGAGGACTAGTGTAGATGACTAGAGTAGAGGACTAGTGTAGAGGACTAGAGTAGAGTAGAGGACTAGAGTAGAGGACTAGAGTAGAGTAGAGTAGAGTAGAGGACTAGAGTAGAGGACTAGAGTAGAGGACTAGGGTAGAGTAGAGGACTAGAGTAGAGGACTAGTGTAGATGACTAGAGTAGAGGACTAGTGTAGAGGACTAGAGAAGAGTAGAGTAGTGGACTTGAGTAGAGGACTAGAGTAGAGGAGAGAACTAGAGTAGAGGACTAGAGTAGATGACTAGAGTAGAGTAGAGAACTAGAGTAGATTACTAGTGTAGAGGACTAGTGTACAGGACTAGAGTAGAGGACTAGTGTAGAGGACTAGAGTAGAGGACTAGAGTAGAGTAGAGTAGAGTAGAGGACTAGAGTAGAGGACTAGAGTAGAGTAGAGTAGAGTAGAGGACTAGAGTAGAGGACTAGAGTAGAGGACTAGAATAGAGGACTAGTGAAGAGTAGAGGAGTGGACTAGAGCAGAGGACTAGAGTTAAGGACTAGAGTAGAGGACTAGAGTAGAGAACTAGAGTAGAGGACTAGGGTAGAGTAGAGGACTAGAGTAGAGGACTAGTGTAGAGTAGAGTAGATGACTAGTGTAGAGGACTAGAGTAGAGTAGAGTGGAGGACTAGAGTAGAGTAGAGTAGAGGACTAGTGTAGGGGACTAGTTTAGAGGACTAGTGTAGAGGAATAGTGTAGTGATATGTATTTGGCATTTATATATAACGTCGGGTCAGATATGTTTATCACCCCACAATGTAGATAAAGCCTCTTTTGTCAGTTCTATAACAGTGCTATTTATTTTGATTTAAATGGAAAGAAAACACAATTACACCTCATATCCAGATGTTGAGAAATTCCTCACCAGGGATTAGCTATTTTTGAGGTGCTCCTAATTTAATACCAAAAATCTGACAATATTGACAACTATATTTTCTTGTTGAAATTAAGATAAAGGGAGATAGCTCTAACACAAATTAGATATAGCTGTGTAAGGGAGATAACTCTAACATAAATCACATATATAGCTGTGTAAGGCAGCATACAACCTCTACTGTAAATTGTCTGTTCCAGGCTGATGTGTTTTCCTATGGGATCACGTTATACGCTCTCCTCACGAGCGGACGGCATCCGTTTGATGAATTTGAGTTCAAAAGTGACATGGACCGAGCCATTGCTGAGGTATAGTGTTAACAGGGAAACTCAGAAATATAATATTAATTGGAAACAGTAAGAATTTCAGGAACAAAAGAAGTTTCTGTCAATTATTTTATCCATCAAATGTGTAATGGTATCATTAAAACGGTGTCATGGGAACGAGGTACCACTTTGATAGTTGTTTTCCCTGTTAGTGAGTCTTCACAGGAATAACAGGTCATGGTGTAATGTTCCCTCCCACACCCACTACCTGGTGTGTTTTATATAAACTATTGACACCTGCAAACTGCTCAGTATATATTTCCCAGGTTGATGACATTTGGCCAGTAACATGCTGGCATGAAAGGCTACCATGTTTGTTCAAATGAATGACCTTGACCTTTATTCAAGATTGCAGGGATCAAATATGTTAAAATAGTTTAACAACTTCTTCTGAACAACCAGAAGCCCCAGGGTAATAATATATGGCAAGTACATTGTAGCATGTTGGGATAAATGGCTTCCAAGTTTGTTCAAATGAATGACCTTGACTATATTCAAGGTCACAGGGGTCAAATATGTTCAAATCTTTTAACAACTTCTTCTGAATAACCATGATGTCAAGACTGTTGATGTCTAGCCAGTAGCATGCAAGGATGAAGTGCTACAAAGTTTGTTAAAATTGGTCAAATATGTTTATAATCTTTGAGCAACTTCTTCTGAATAACCATGAGGCCCAGATTGTTAATATTTGGCTAGTAGCATGCTTGGATGAAGGGCTATCAAGATTTTTCATTTGAATGACCTTGACCCACTTTCAAGGTGACATTTGGTCAAATATGTATAAATCTTTAAATAACCTAATCTCAATAAACAAAAGGTCTGGGTTGGTGGTTTTTGGCAAGTTGCATGCTGAGATATAGGGCTATAAAGTTGTTTTTAACGTAATGACCTTGTTTGACTTTCAAGGTCATAGAGGTCAAATGATTTAAAATCTTTTAACAGGTATTTTCAAATGACTTATAGTTTTAAATACTGATATTTTGCATGTAGCTTTATTTTAGATCACTTTTAAGGTTGCAGGTGTGAGATTAATACCAGGTGAGCCATGCAGGCCCATTGGGCCTCTTTTCAAGTTCTAGACTTTATCTATGCAGAATCAAACGTAGTAAGAGAACATTGATGTAAATCAGGCAAAGTATGTCTACATCCATTCTATCATTACTATAAAGATCACAAAGTATTTGTATTATAATATAATTTGTTGTTGTGTATAGGGCGTGACGATGCCAGCCATTACACAGCGTGGGGCCAGTCCGTGGCCCGACATGGAGAACATACTGAATGGCTGTTTGTACAACTTACCTGACAAACGACTACAGGTAAAACTAAATAATTATGTGCAGGTTAAAACACAAATCAACAAATATTCAGCAATTGAGCATACAGATGAAACTGTCATAATAGTGTAGTGTACTTGTTGTATATGAAGAAGACAAATGAGCTTGACTAACTGAAAACTCCATCTGTCCGCCGTCTTACCGACTTACTTTGCTATATTGTAGTCCAAAGACATAGTGAGACGTCTAAAGATACCAGATATCCTGAGTCTCCGAAGTTTTACTCTCATATCAAAGTCAGCGTCACTGGAGTGCTTCACAGTTCAGGTGAGTGTCTTATACGTATAGTGTCAAAGTCAGCATCAACCCGGTGTTTACAGTTCAGGTGAGTATCTTATAAGTATAGTGTCAAAGTCAGCATCACTCTGATGTCTACAGTTCAGGTGAGTATCTTATAAGTATAGTGTCAAAGTCAGCATCAACCCGGTGTTTACAGTTCAGGTGAGTATCTTATAAGTATAGTGTCAAAGTCAGCATCACTCTGATGTCTACAGTTCAGGTGAGTATCTTATAAGTATAGTGTCAAAGTCAGCATCAACCCGGTGTTTACAGTTCAGGTGAGTATCTTATAAGTAAAGTGTCAAAGTCAGCATCACTCCGGTGTTTACAGTTCAGGTGAGTATCTTATAAGTAAAGTGTCAAAGTCAGCATCACTCCGGTGTTTACAGTTCAGGTGAGTATCTTATAAGTATAGTGTCAAAGTCAGCATCACTCCGGTGTTTACAGTTCAGGTGTGTATCTTATAAGTAAAGTGTCAAAGTCAGCATCACTCCGGTGTTTACAGTTCAGGTGTGTATCTTATAAGTAAAGTGTCAAAGTCAGCATCACTCCAGTGTTTACAGTTCAGGTGAGTATCTTATAAGTATAGTGTCAAAGTCAGCATCACTCCGGTGTTTACAGTTCAGGTGAGTATCTTATAAGTATAGTGTCAAAGTCAGCATCACTCCGGTGTTTACAGTTCAGGTGAGTATCTTATAAGTATAGTGTCAAAGTCAGCATCACTCCGGTGTTTACAGTTCAGGTGAGTATCTTATAAGTATAGTGTCAAAGTCAGCATCACTCCGGTGTTTACAGTTCAGGTGTGTATCTTATAAGTAAAGTGTCAAAGTCAGCATCACTCCGGTGTTTACAGTTCAGGTGAGTATCTTATAAGTAAAGTGTCAAAGTCAGCATCACTCCGGTGTTTACAGTTCAGGTGAGTATCTTATAAGTAAAGTGTCAAAGTCAGCATCACTCCGGTGTTTACAGTTCAGGTGTGTATCTTATAAGTAAAGTGTCAAAGTCAGCATCACTCCGGTGTTTACAGTTCAGGTGTGTATCTTATAAGTAAAGTGTCAAAGTCAGCATCACTCCGGTGTTTACAGTTCAGGTGAGTATCTTATAAGTAAAGTGTCAAAGTCAGCATCACTCCGGTGTTTACAGTTCAGGTGTGTATCTTATAAGTAAAGTGTCAAAGTCAGCATCACTCCGGTGTTTACAGTTCAGGTGAGTATCTTATAAGTAAAGTGTCAAAGTCAGCATCACTCCGGTGTTTACAGTTCAGGTGAGTATCTTATAAGTAAAGTGTCAAAGTCAGCATCACTCCGGTGTTTACAGTTCAGGTGAGTATCTTATAAGTAAAGTGTCAAAGTCAGCATCACTCCGGTGTTTACAGTTCAGGTGAGTATCTTATAAGTAAAGTGTCAAAGTCAGCATCACTCCGGTGTTTACAGTTCAGGTGAGTATCTTATAAGTAAAGTGTCAAAGTCAGCATCACTCCGGTGTTTACAGTTCAGGTGAGTATCTTATAAGTATAGTGTCAAAGTCAGCATCACTCCGGTGTTTACAGTTCAGGTGAGTATCTTATAAGTATAGTGTCAAAGTCAGCATCACTCCGGTGTTTACAGTTCAGGTGAGTATCTTATAAGTAAAGTGTCAAAGTCAGCATCACTCCGGTGTTTACAGTTCAGGTGTGTATCTTATAAGTAAAGTGTCAAAGTCAGCATCACTCCGGTGTTTACAGTTCAGGTGAGTATCTTATAAGTATAGTGTCAAAGTCAGCATCACTCCGGTGTTTACAGTTCAGGTGAGTATCTTATAAGTATAGTGTCAAAGTCAGCATCACTCCGGTGTTTACAGTTCAGGTGTGTATCTTATAAGTAAAGTGTCAAAGTCAGCATCACTCCGGTGTTTACAGTTCAGGTGTGTATCTTATAAGTAAAGTGTCAAAGTCAGCATCACTCCGGTGTTTACAGTTCAGGTGAGTATCTTATAAGTAAAGTGTCAAAGTCAGCATCACTCCGGTGTTTACAGTTCAGGTGAGTATCTTATAAGTAAAGTGTCAAAGTCAGCATCACTCCGGTGTTTACAGTTCAGGTGAGTATCTTATAAGTAAAGTGTCAAAGTCAGCATCACTCCGGTGTTTACAGTTCAGGTGAGTATCTTATAAGTAAAGTGTCAAAGTCAGCATCACTCCGGTGTTTACAGTTCAGGTGAGTATCTTATAAGTAAAGTGTCAAAGTCAGCATCACTCCGGTGTTTACAGTTCAGGTGAGTATCTTATAAGTATAGTGTCAAAGTCAGCATCACTCCGGTGTTTACAGTTCAGGTGTGTATCTTATAAGTAAAGTGTCAAAGTCAGCATCACTCCGGTGTTTACAGTTCAGGTGAGTATCTTATAAGTAAAGTGTCAAAGTCAGCATCACTCCGGTGTTTACAGTTCAGGTGTGTATCTTATAAGTAAAGTGTCAAAGTCAGCATCACTCCGGTGTTTACAGTTCAGGTGTGTATCTTATAAGTAAAGTGTCAAAGTCAGCATCACTCCGGTGTTTACAGTTCAGGTGTGTATCTTATAAGTAAAGTGTCAAAGTCAGCATCACTCCGGTGTTTACAGTTCAGGTGTGTATCTTATAAGTAAAGTGTCAAAGTCAGCATCACTCCGGTGTTTACAGTTCAGGTGTGTATCTTATAAGTAAAGTGTCAAAGTCAGCATCACTCCGGTGTTTACAGTTCAGGTGTGTATCTTATAAGTAAAGTGTCAAAGTCAGCATCACTCCGGTGTTTACAGTTCAGGTGAGTATCTTATAAGTATAGTGTCAAAGTCAGCATCACTCCGGTGTTTACAGTTCAGGTGAGTATCTTATAAGTATAGTGTCAAAGTCAGCATCACTCCGGTGTTTACAGTTCAGGTGAGTATCTTATAAGTATAGTGTCAAAGTCAGCATCACTCCGGTGTTTACAGTTCAGGTGTGTATCTTATAAGTAAAGTGTCAAAGTCAGCATCACTCCGGTGTTTACAGTTCAGGTGAGTATCTTATAAGTATAGTGTCAAAGTCAGCATCACTCCGGTGTTTACAGTTCAGGTGAGTATCTTATAAGTATAGTGTCAAAGTCAGCATCACTCCGGTGTTTACAGTTCAGGTGTGTATCTTATAAGTAAAGTGTCAAAGTCAGCATCACTCCGGTGTTTACAGTTCAGGTGAGTATCTTATAAGTATAGTGTCAAAGTCAGCATCACTCCGGTGTTTACAGTTCAGGTGTGTATCTTATAAGTAAAGTGTCAAAGTCAGCATCACTCCGGTGTTTACAGTTCAGGTGAGTATCTTATAAGTAAAGTGTCAAAGTCAGCATCACTCCGGTGTTTACAGTTCAGGTGAGTATCTTATAAGTAGAGTGTCAAAGTCAGCATCACCCCGGTGTTTACAGTTCAGGTGAGTATCTTATAAGTATAGTGTCAAAGTCAGCATCATTCCGGTGTTTACAGTTCAGGTGAGTACCTTATAAGTAGAGTGTCAAAGTCAGCATCACTCCGGTGTTTACAGTTCAGGCATTTTTGTTCCTATTCTGTCAGAAATTTGTCGTATGTAGGAAAAGGAATAGGTTTGGTTTTCTTTTGTTTGATGTCCTATTAACAGCTGAGGTTTCTTAAGGTAATAGGATTGTGTCACCATTTCTCAGTAGAATATCTTCAAATTTTGTAGTTATATTGCTTTAAAGTAAAGAAAATTTTCTGCCACAAAAAAGAAGTATAGGTTGTCAGAATTTTAAGGATTTTAAATGGATATTTATGTAAAAAGGAGTGAATTTTGAAAAAAAAATGAAAGACACAATATTTTTAAAAAATGATGTCAATAAAAATGATACTGACATATATTAGTATTGCATTAATGTATATCAATTTAATAAATGCTGAAATTGTGTAAAATTAATACTCTATAGCTGATATAAAAACTGATATTTTATAATAAAACCATATACACATAGTAATTGCAGGTAAGAGTTATCGTTCTTGAAAAACTTCACAGTAGTGAAATAGATAGCCGGTTTCCTGAAGTACAGAAAAATAGACACATGTGACTCATTGATAAAAAAACACCTGAATTAATGCCTGGATTGCTTTGAAATACCTTAATATTGAGAGAACACACTGTTCTGTCAATAATAAACATACAATAATCATCAATTTAATATCAAACATTAGAATTTGCAGAAATTGTGATGCCGTCTCCCTACATTGGATATTCAACTAGGGATGTACTTCCTGTTTCTGTTTATCAATACACTCCAATGACCTTAAGGTCATGGACCGTAGTGTGTAATGTATGTGTATGTGTGCTGGAGTTAGGGTATTTGATGTATTTGCTTCCTTGTGATAGCGCAGATCTGATGCTGACTTTAAAGTGCTATCTCATTGAAATCAGCCATGGCGAAGGTACCCAGCACAGCTTCCGACTGGTCACATTTTACTGACAATGGGTGAACCAGTTGTTGTAATAATCCTAAATGCTGAACAATAAGTAGTGAATAACAACTATCTTTTTTAAAGATTTTGGTATGTCCCAGCCTTGGGAAGAACTTGTTGCCTTTACCCCACTAAGGCCAAAAGCTAGGTATTGCCAAAGAAGCACTAGAAAACAAAAAGGTTTCCAGGAAGAAGTGGAGAGAAACAAAACTTCTGAATCGTAACTCAGTCAGATATATTTAGATAAACACATTTAATTTAAAAGGACTAAATAGGAAAGGTAATGGACGCAGGCATTCCATGCCTCTATATCAGGAAAGGTAATGGACGCAGGCATTCCACGCCTCTATATCAGGAAAGGTAATGGATGCAGGCATTCCACGCCTCTATATCAGGAAAGGTAATGGATGCAGGCATTGCATGCCTCTATATCAGGAAAGGTAATGGATGCAGGCAGTCCATGCCTCTATATCAGGAAAGGTAATGGAAGCAGGCATTCCATGCCTCTATATCAGGAAAGGAAATGGATGCAGGAATCCCATGCCTCTATATCAGGAAAGGTAATGGATGGAAGCATTCCATGCCTCTATATCAGGAAAGGTAATGGACGCAGGCATTCCATGCCTCTTTATCAGGAAAGGTAATGGAAGCAGGCATTCCATGCCTCTATATCAGGAAAGGTAAGGGACGCAGGCATTCCATGCCTCTATATCAGGCAAGGTAATGGACGCAGGCATTCCATGCCTCTTTATCAGGAAAGGTAATGGAAGCAGGCATTCCATGCCTCTATAACAGGAAAGGTAATAGACGCAGGCATTCCATGCCTCTATATCAGGAAAGGAAATGGATGCAGGAATCCCATGCCTCTATATCAGGAAAGGTAATGGATGGAAGCATTCCATGCCTCTATATCAGGAAAGGTAATAGACGCAGGCATTCCATGCCTCTATATCAGGAAAGGTAATGAATGCAGGCGTTCCATGCCTCTATATCAGGAAAGGTAATGGATGGAAGCATTCCATGCCTCTATATCAGGAAAGGTAAGGGACGCAGGCATTCCATGCCTCTATATCAGGCAAGGTAATGGACGCAGGCATTCCATGCCTCTATATCAGGCAAGGTAATGGACGCAGGCATTCCATGCCTCTTTATCAGGAAAGGTAATGGACGCAGGCATTCCACGCCTCTATATCAGGAAAGGTAATGGATGCAGGCATCCCATGCCTCTATATAAGGAAAGGGAATGGATGCAGGCATTCCATGCCTCTATATCGGGAAAGGTAATGGATGCAGGCATTCCATGCCTCTATATCGGGAAAGGTAATGGATGCAGGCATTCCATGCCTCTATAGCAGGAAAGGTAATGGATGCAGGCATTCCATGCCTCCATATCAGGAAAGGTAATGGATGCAGGCATTCCATGCCTCTATATCTATATCTAATAACAATACAATGTACATTTGTTTGTCTCTTTCGGATATCTGTGTGTAACTATAGCCAAATGATTGTGTTTAAGCTCTAGGTTTCACCAATGTTTGTCTAAATTGATTTCAAAGTTTCTTATAGTTGTCGAATGACATATTCGGGAAGACCGTTCCAAATATCAATAGTTCTGAAACCAAATGAGTGTTTTCTAACATCTAGTCTTCAGTGTTTTTTCTTGAATTTCTGTGTGTTCCCTCTTGTTCTTGATGATGTTTTAAGGTTAAAAATTGAAGACGTTACTTTTTCATCGTAGAAGTTGTTCATACTCTTGTTCATTTTGATTGTATCTCTTCCTCGCAGTCTGCAGTATGTGAGGGATGGAAATCCTAATCTTTTTAGACGATCACTGTATGGTAGGTCCTTTAACCCAGGTATCCGTTTCTACACTTACTGGTGTATTGAAACTAGCATGAGTCAGTAACACTGTATTGTGGCAGAGTTATATCATCAACGTTGTGTTGTGAGTGGGATAATGTACCATTAATGTTTTGTGGCAGGAAAATGAAGAAGGATCACCAGTTCTGTGGTTTACCAGTGGGTCTATGGAACATGTGGAGCTGTCTCATATCAACCTTCTCGACCCGTCCTTCAAACACCAGGTGAGTAACTCATACACGATGTCAGTAAATGGAAGGATTTTGACGAGGCCTAAAGCTGATAACTTTTTTCATCGTTAACACTATTTTACCATGAAGATGATGATGAAACAAGTTACAGTACGAAAAAGTTGGTTTGAGCACAGAATTAATCCATGCTTGAGCGTTATATTATTACATTTTCATGAACACAGGCTGTGGACGACTCATCTGTATTAAACGAAGGTTTGAAATCTGTGATACAGATCATCTTTTAGATATGAAAAACGATAATTAGATAATCACCTTCATATTTCAATAAGAAAATACTTAAAATTCAGAGAATTCAGGAAATGAAGGTGCATTATATTAATTGTGAGGGTTGTGTTGATGACCCTCCATTCCGTATGTATATGTTTTTCGTGTGTACCAGGGTACCTACTTTCTGTATGTATATTTTTTCGTGTGTACCAGGGTACCTACTTTCCGTATGTATATGTTTTTAGCCCACCATCATCTGATGGTGGGCTATTCAAATCACCCTGCGTCCGTTGTCCGTCGTCCGTCCGTAAACAATTCTTGTTATCGGTATTTCTCAAGAAGTACCAGTGGGATCTTTCTCAAATTTTAAATGTAGGTTCCC